GTCTCAAAAGACCTCACACATGTTCCAAAGAATACATATATGTCCCAAAGGACCGTGTAAACCCTCAACTCTTGGCATGCCAACTATACCTCTAGCCCTCATTACACATAACATGGGCAGTAATATTTATATTTCTTATCAGCTTTTAATGCCACTGCAATTGTATTTGTGCCTAAATCTCCTAATGCTTGTAGGGCTAAAGATTTTATATCTATTTCTTATTGTTTAGTATTTTAGAAGAAAAATACTAGGATTTTTTGAATAGATTGCCTAGGTATTTCCTAAGGATGATTTCTTTAAGCCAGTTTGCCTTCTTTAAGGGAAAGAATATTGTGGATAACACTTTGTTAGCTCAAGAGTTAGTGAAAGAGTATTCTAGGAGGAATATGTCTCCTAGATGTTCCATAAATGTGGATTTGCAAAAGGTATTTGACCCAGTTAGCTGAGAATTTTTAAGATTATTTTAACTACTTTGGGGTTCCCTGGGGTTTTTTAGAAAGATGATAGAGGCTTGTGTTACTACATCTAAATTTTCAATGGTTTTTAATAGCAGTTTGGTGGGGGTATTTTAGTGGAAAGAGAGGTGTGAGGAAGGGTGACACTTTTTCACCTTACTTGTTTGTAATGGTGATGAATATTTTGTCTTGCTTGTTAGATATTGCAACTAAGGAGGGATATTTCAGTTTTATCCTAAGTGTAAGAGGGTTTATTTGACTCACTTATTATTTACTAATGATATTCCTCATATTTTGTAAAGGCTCTGTGGATTCTGTTGTAGGAGTGAAGAGTATTCTGGAGGTGTTTTATAAAATTTCTAGATTAAAGTTGAATGTTGATAAAACTGAGATTTTTGTGTGTGGTGTGGATGAAAATGTTCTGGGTAGCATTAAAGGTGCAATAGGTTTTATTTAGGGTAGACTTCTTGTTAAGTTCCTTGGGGTGCCTTTAGTGACTAGGAAGCTTACTGAAAAAGATTATATATCATTGTTAGAGAAAATTCAGGGTAAACTTACAATTTGGTCACATAGAAAGTTGAGTTATGAAGGTAGGTTGTAGCTTATCAATGTTGTATTGTTCAGTATTTCTAATTTTTGGTGTAGGCAGCTAGTTCTTCCTTAAGTGGTGATTAGAAGGATTGAGCAATTATGCATGAGATTCTTTTGGAAAGGGAGTTATGATTTGATTAAGGGAGCGAGAGTGCGTTGGTAAAAAAATTACAGATTAAAATTTGAGGGGGTATAGGTTTAAAGGATTTGTCATGTTGCAATAGGTCTTATAGCCTGTTGCTTATTAAAAACATTATTGTTGATGAGGACTCTTTGTGTGTGGTTTGGATCACGACTTATGCTCTGAATGGTCAGGATTACTGGTCGATAGAGTATAAACTATTTAATATATGGGTTTTGAATAAGTTGATTAAGTTGAGATGAGAGTCTGAGGTCCTATTTGCTAGAGGAATGGACTGGAGAAAGGTAAATTGTAGGTGGATTTGGGAGAATATTATAGATAAAAGGGTGAAAGTAAATTGGCAGAAACTAATTTGGTTTCCTTGGCATGTCCCTAAATTTTCTATTTTGGCATGGATGATCATTCTTGATAGGCTCCCAACTAAAGATAGGCTTGCTCGTATGGGCATTGAGATGGATAGAGGATGTGTATTGTGTGGCTTGGATGAGGAGTCTATGAATTATATTTTTTATGGTTGTCAGTATGCTTGCAGCGTGTGGGATGTTGTGTTGCAGGCTTGCATGCATCTTTGTAGGATGCGGAGGTGGGAGTAGAACCTTGGTTGGTTGGTTTGTAACTTGAAAGATAGTTATCTAATTGTTTGTATCTTGAAGATTACTTGGACTAGCTCCTTGTATTGTATTTGGGAATGAACACAATTTCAAGATCTTTAGGGGCGTTAAGAGATATTCAGAGGTGGTATTTGGAAGGATTAAGGATATTATTTTCTCAAGACTGTTTGGTTGCTGTTTTAAGCATGATGAGATGAATTTGCTGCTTTGTGGAAATTGGAGTTAGTGTAGGGATCTTGGGAGGTGCTCTCTATTTATTTGTTGTTGTTAGTTGGTTAGTTGTTGATTGGTTGGTTGTTTTTCATTTGTTTTTTGTTGTTGTCCTTGGTTATATTGTTTTATCATTTGCTATTGTATATGTTGTTGTTGACTGGTTTGATGTTGCAGCTGTTGTTGCATTTTTTTAGATTTAGAATGAAATTTAATTATCAAAAAAAAAACAGACGATAACCATACTTGCCATTCAAGAAACAAAAAACAAATGATTAGAGAGAGAGATTATACAAAACAAGCAAAGATACTAATCTAACAAAAAAAATTAAAATAACTAGTAAAAAATTGCACATAGAGACAAAATTTTGGTGTATAATGAACTATAGGACAAATTTTGTATTTGGCCATTCAATTACTTTTTTTAAGATTATATCACATTACATTTTAATTATGTTTTAGTCATATGTCATCATAAAATAAAAGAAATTACTGACGTGATATTTCTTTATTTTTTTAATGATGATATAGTATAACCTTATGATGTAATGTTAATATTATCATTAATTTTTTAATGATAAGTGATTACAATAAAATTAGAACATAATTTTAAATATAGTTTTTTAAAATAGTAATTATATAATAAAATAAAATAAAAATAAAAATTGAATGATTAAATACATAATTTACTCTCAACTATATACTTTGAAACTCCTTTATTTTGGGTTAAAAATTTCATAAATGATATTAAAAAGTTATCATGTAACTTATTATGAAAGATATCTTAAAATTTGAAAAGTATTATATCAAATAATAATAATTGCTCGTGTATTTATTAAACAATAGCGGCATCAATGGAGAGATGGACAGGCACGTGTGGTTCCAGCTAAGCCTACAAGGGAAGAGGGGTTAGCTGGCAAAGCCAATAAATAATCGGGACTTCGACCCACGTGCGGGAGAGAGGCGTGCCTTTTGGGGTCATCCAATCGCCGGGACCACCTACTTTTCTTTAATTATTATTTTCAGTTGCAACGAGGCCTTTCGTTGGTCTACATTGGCAAGTTGAAGGCAATATCTTTCAAATTACGCCCTCCAAATCCACACTGCCAATCACCATTTGATCAATGCTCTTCGTTGACGACAAGAAGGTTATTCTATCGGTTATTGAAATGACAACTTTTCTTTATTGATTTAGATGGAAGATTATAACCGGTGAGAGAATGATTATCTATTACTATTTGAATTAATAAGAGAATAAATCATCATAAAAAAGGAAAAGATTTAATAGGGTTGATCATAATAGTGGGCAATTTATCTCTTAATGTAACTTTGATTGAGGATATTTATATTGATTATTAGTGTATGCTATATGTAGGGTTATGATCACTATTTATAAGTTAATCAGACTATAAATATCTCATAGTTAGATCTTAGATTTCGTACTAGAGAGTTACGTAATATGTCAGGAGTCTTGTTTATGTATTGTAATTGACTTAATGATCTATGTTTAAAAGAAACAAATTTTTAGGGATTTCGATATATATAAAGGTTTATATGAAGATCAACTAACAATACAATACTGACATATTCGATGTGATAGAGAGTAAAAAATTCTAGGACAAGGGAAACTTTCAGATGTATAACACACTTCAACATTATCAATCAATTTATAGGATGATCGAACAATAAATTGAGGCTTTTCCTCCTAGATCCATACAGGGAAATCTTCAACGATCATTTGGAGAGGGAGTTTTAATTGCAACAATTCTCATTTTAACAGCATTCAGAACCAAATCTTTTAACTTAGGCCAGTCCCAGCCTTCAAAAGAGTTGGTCATAGAACTAACAAGAGTATAACCGTTAGGTATGGCCGACGGATTCACACAAACATCAACTAGCGGCCCCATTCCAAATTCTCGATCCAAAACTAGCATTCAAGGACCACAACAAATATAACCCAAAACTTATCAGTCGTAGCAACAAGGTTAAAGCCCAACTTCATCAAAGAAGTTGTATTATAGGGCTCAACTCCTTGGTGCCCAAGCCTCAATTCTAACTAACTTACATGCATGTTGAAGACTAGGATGGCAAACGGGCGGGTCGGGTGTGGATACCCCCTCCCCCATCCCCATACCCACATAATATTTTTCAATCCACCACCCGCCCACCACTTATGATGGGTACAAATTTTCAAATCCACACTCGCCCACGCGGGTACATTCTCAAATACATCCCCCCACCCACTACCCACTAGTAACGTACCCGTCTAGACCCGCCTGAAAGCAAACTTAAGTTATATATATAAGCAACAAACATAAAAAAACATGTCCACTAAGAAACATAATAAAATAATCCAAGGATTATCTGAGTTAAGTGTTAATATAGATCTTAAAGTACATAAAACATCATAATAAAAAACCTAATTAAAGTTTATAAACATAAATGACAAACACATAATGTTTTTGTTCCTTGGCATAACATTCTAAAATTTCAGGGAATACTTGTGACATTTGATACTCCAGTATTACAATCATCAATTTCTATTTCCTCCAATTAATAGCGCTCTAATTTAAATTCACTACTACCTACATATATAATAGAAAGTGGGCGAGCGGGCAGATATTTAACTGGGTGGGAGGATGTGGGGCGGGCGGATGCGGGGTGGGTAATATCTCAAACCCATTACCCGCCCACTACCTGTGACGGGTATCACTTTCTAAATCCACACCCGCCCACTACCCGCTAAAATTATACCCATCCCCGCCCCAATTAGAGCGGGTGCGATACGAAATCCACGAAACTGTATCCGAAGACACCCAATGCATAATGACACGAACCAATCACTGGCTTCAATATGTTAACAAGAACTTTTGTAACAATTTTTATACAGGACCATGCAAATACTTATTGGCCTAAACTAAGACATGACCATGTATATTTAATCTTTGAAATGAGAACCAATAAAGCACTATTAGCCAACCATATACCTGTTCACTACCCCGAGCAAACTCACAGACGTTTCTGCCCACAACAACAAATCAACGAGGCTTAATTTTTGTTGTGGCAATTACCACAAGCGAAGTACCGGGGAAGGTTCCGCCTCGGCTCTGGGCACTCGGCTTTGGTCCTAATGCTTACCAATTCAATTTCATTTCTTTGACTTTTCTCATCATCAGACAGGAGACGAATCAAATTCTAGCCCTTTCTTTCTCCTCTCCCATTGTGTCAAGATTCATCCTTGAGTTCACTAGATCGTAGCTTGTTTGTGTTCAGCTTCAGTTTTCGAGCTTTATTATCGGCAAAGGATTTCAGGTGAGGAGAAATCAGGAATCTGGAAACCCTCGTTTTTTTCGTTCTTTCAGCTGAATTTCAGGTACTTTAAGTTAATCCATTTATTGGATTATGTTTCAAGGATTTAATCTTTCATCACTTGGGGATAATCATTTTGCTATCACCTAGATCTAATCGGTGTGCACTCTTGAGAGTTAGCTCTGGGTTTTTAAGATCTTACCCAAACTTGAAAACTATCTTTGGGTTTTTAATTTGAGAAAGGCACAGGAGTTCACTTGATTACTGGGTTTTACTTAAACTTGAAAAACTATCATTTCCATCAAGATTTGAATCTGAATAAGCTAAGATGGGGAGCAAATCTAGTAAAACAGTGAGTGGTCCAGAAGTTTCTCCCCAAAGCAGGGCCGATTCTCAGTTCGAATCAGACTTGATCTCCTACGAGGCTGCTTGTAGAAATGATTCAACTTTGCAGCAATTTGATGCGACTCTCCATCAACGCACCAACGATGTTATCGGCACACTTGCTTCTGGTTTGGGTGTTCAATCTTTATCTTTCGACTCGCTCAAACAGGTCACCGGATGTCTTCTTGAAACAAATCAGGAAGTGGTGAAAATCATTTTAGAATGTCATAGAGATATATGGAAAAATCCGGAGCTGTTTTCTTTGGTTGAGGAATACTTTGAGAACAGTAAGAAGACTTTAGAATTTTGCACTGCTCTTGAGAATTGCCTCAAACGAGCTCGAAACAACCAGTTAATTATTCAGTTGGCCGTAACGTACTTCGACGAGGAGGTGGGTTTACAAGATGGGGATGGTGAGAGGAAATTTGTGAAGACTTTGGGAGAACTAAGGAAATTTAAAGCAGCCGAGGAGCCATTCACTAAAGAGTTCTTTATATTGTTTGATTCGGTCCGTAGGCAGCAGGAATTGATGCTGCGGAAATTGCAAGCTCAGAAGAGAAAGCTCGATAAGAAGTTGAAATCCTTGAAAACATGGAGGAGGGTGTTGAATGTGTTGTTTGTAACCACTTTTGTTTCGGTGTTGATCTTTTCTGTGGTGGCAGCGGCCATAGCTGCACCGCCTGTCGTAACAGCTTTGGCAGCTGCATTGGCGGTTCCTATTGGTTCGGTCGGTAAATGGTGCAACTGGCTCTGGAAACGCTATGAGATAGAGCTGAAAGGGCAGAAGGAGTTAATAATCGGAATGGAAATCGGTTCTTGGATTGCGATCAATGACTTGGAAAACATAAGAGCACTTATCAGTCGGTTCGAAATCGAGATAGAATCAATATTGCATAATGCTGATTTCGCACTTAGAGAAGCAGACGCACTGAAGCTTGCAATCGACGAGATAAAGAGAAAGTTGGAAGCATTTATGATAATCATCGAGGAATTGGGTCGACAGGCCGATACTTGTAGCCGTAATATTAGGATGGCAAGGACAGTGGTTTTGCAGAAGATGATGAAACGTTCTGGTAGTTCATCAACCGGTGACAGCCCTTGGGAACTCTAGCAATGGCATATATTTCAGTGTTTATGTTGTATTAATCTCATGCTCTATTCGAGGTAATGAAGTTCCACCTCTACAAGTGAGTATAGCACATGTGGACTTGATCATATATTTATATATATATAGCAATTACATTGTTCAGTCAATCTAATTTTGGTTGGATTTTTCGTCTTCGCTGATTGTGTCAAGTGTTTGGACCTGGTTCTAAGAATGGAGGACACGACTTACCTAATGCTGGAACAAATATACAGAATTTACATCTTATCTAATACTGAAACAAGAATATAAATTCTACATTAGAACACAAGATTTGAATTCTAAGAATGCTGCTGCCACTTGAAACCTACGCTATCCAAGTAGTTTGTTAACGGCGAACTCTAGGCATGTAAACATGTTCGTTCGTTTAACTTTAATCGAACAAACATGAATAACTAAATGAACATAAACAAACAGGCGAACATAAACGAACACAAACGGGTGAATATAGACCAACGTAAACGAACGAACATAAAATTAATTGAGCTTATATTTGAGAAGAATTTTTATCTTTCCAAATAATTTTAAGATTTATATTTTCTTTAATTAATTTGAGTATCTTTTATTTGGGTTTAAAATTAATTGAGTTTTAAAATATTAATAAGTTTAAGGTTAAAATTTATTAGGTCTTAATATTTTAAACGAGTATAGAGATTAAATGAATATAAACAAACATAAATGAATGGGTTAACGAACAAAAAATCTTGTTTATGTTCGTTCGTTTAATAAAAAAAGAACATAAACGAACTTTCCGCCTAACGATTCACAAACGATTCACTGAACTTCGTTTCGTTTACCGGCCTAATTAACTCTCTTTTACCTTATTATTTATATGTATAATTTCCTACTTCTGCAAGTTGATAAAGGATAGGGGTGTTCAAACTTCGGTAAAAACCGATTTAATCGATTGAATAAATTTTTTTTTGGGTTAATCGATCGGTTGATTTTAAGTTCGATCGGTTAACGATTAATATTTATTTAAACTTTGATTATCGGTTAATTCAGTTCAAAATCGATTAATCGAGATTTTATAAATTTCGGTTAATTCAATTAATATATAATATATATTATTTATAAATTTTGGTTAATTCAGTTAATCGATAGATTAATCGAACTTTGTTCGATTCGGTTAATTGTCTTCGAAAAATTTCGATTCGAATAACGATTAAAGTGAAAAAAACACTGATTAATGAATTTTTGGAAATTCGATTCGGTCGGTTAACCGAACCGACCGATTGAACACACCTGATAAAGGACGTAAAAAATAATACTATCAAAGTTGTTGAAAAAATTCGAATTACAAATTTATATTAAATATTGCCTTTCAAAAGACTGGGTGCACGCCTTTGCCAAAAGAATACCATTTTAATAAAAAAAAATTGCTTGATGTCATTGTGATTAATTTTTTGGGTATTATTCCTATAATATTACCATATTAAATTGAATATACATGATTTTTTTTATTAACAATATACAGATTTTAAGATCTTTTTATTTTTATAAAACGAATATTCAATTCCTTCTCTAGATTGGCTTAGGCTTGGATTAAACAACACGGAAAATTTCGAGTACCCTGGAACATTCCCGAAATTACCTATCACCCATTTAAGAAATTTGTACCTTCACTCTATCAATCAATTGTTTTGATCTCTTTTACCCAATTATTAGATCTGTTACCTTTTCTTTTTCAATCTATAGTCTTTTAGATTATACTTTGTGATGGATGCGAATGCGGTCGTGTGTCTAGATTCTTTTGGATTTTGAAATTTGATTAATATTCTGATTTTAGATGAGGGATTCCATTTTTTTTGCCAAATGACTTGTCTATTTGAGCTTGGTTAATGATCAAAATCGTTTATGGGGGTAATTTGATGATGATCTCGAATGATTTGATCTTTAGAGCTTTTTGTGGGTTTGTGGTTTTTGGCATCTCAAATCTTTCTTCTTTTAAAAAATGGGAAACTGGGCTTTGAAGTGATTGATTGGAAGTGGTGGTTTTTTTTCTTCTTTTTATTCCATAACTTGAATTTCTGGAAATTTAAATGCTTGCCTCTTCAATTCGTGCATTTTCCTTGTGATATTTTGATTTATTGGTTTAGCTATATAAGCAATTGCAAGTGGTTTTGGGGAATCAACAAGCATTCCTCCCTCAAGTCAATCTTGCTCGAGTAGTGATAATGCTAATGATGCTGGTGATTTCGAATGCAATGTTTGCTTCGAATTGGATCAAGATTCAATTGTCACACTTTGCGGTCATCTCTTCCGCTGGCCATGTCTATACAGAGGGTTGCACCATCACTCGCATTGTCAAGAATGCCCGGTTTGCAAGGCCCTCATACGAGAGGAAAAGCTTGTTCCCCTTTATGGCAGGGGCAAAAACCAGACCGATCCGCGTACAAAATCGTATCAGGACATGGAAATTCCTAATCGCCCAGCCGAGCAAAGACCACCAACCGTTCCTCCCCACCACCAGAAACAAACCAGTTTGCCAATTACGGGTTTGGACTGTAACCGCCGTTAAATTAAACCGTTAAGTGAAATGTGTCAAGCATATAAAATTTTAAAAAAAATTATTAAAAAAACACTTAAATCATTATTTTCTTTTTAAAAACCCAATTTTTTGAAATTATAAAAAATCCCAAAACCCCAAAAAATCCTAATTTCAATTCTCTCAGCACCATTGACTGTCACAACCGACGCCAATCGACCAAAAAATTTGAAGGTGCGCAACCACTCGAACACCAAAAGACCAAACCCCCATGCTTCAAGCGATGATTGCATCAACTTATTGATTTCGACTAATGACGATGATTCCATCGATTCAAGTAATTTAAATCCCCTCAGCACCACCGATTGTCACAACCGTCGCCAATTAGCCAAAAATTAGAAGGTGCGCAACAACTCCAACACATAAAGATCGAACCCCCATACTTAAAACGACGATTGGAACAATTTATTGATTCTGACTAACGACGATGATTCCATCGATTCAAGCAACGACTCCTCTCGTTGTGCGTTGAAATTTGATTAGACGAAGTGACCGACGACAAAGGGTGACAACCAAGGCAACATCGATGGCGGTCGGAGTGCATCATGAAGTTTGGAATTAGGGTTTTTAGAGTTTTTTTGTTTTTAGATTTAAGAAAATTTTGGGTGTTTTTAAATAAATTATAATTTTTATTTTAAAATAATATTTTTAATTTTTTATAAGATTGAGACATGCCACTTAAATATTAAATTTAACGACAGACACCTAAAAATATAACCTCATAAATATTAAACACCTACTTTTAATAAAAATTTCTAACTTATATTTAGACACTTAGTCTTACATTAAACTTATATCAAATAAAAAATCCCACCTTTGCATATTTTCAGTGTTTGGCCTTGAAATTTATAAGAGTACTAATAATCAACAAAAATGTGTCACCACTCTTTATCTGACACGTTTTATTTTCAAACACTTTGATGTGCGCATGGACCAACGCTCCCACTTGGCCTCGGCCATGCCAACTTATGAGGGGAATCGGACCACGTCAGAGACATGATACAGTTTTCTAGCAAGTTATTTATAAGAAGTGTTATGCTTTCAATAATTTGGGGTCGTTTTCATTTACGGGGGCATCCCCAATAAGCCAATGCCATCCCATATTCCAATTTCCAAACATTCATCACCTCTGTTTTTAAGATGCTTTTCCTTTTTTCCTCATTTTATCACAATTTTATCTATCCATATTTCTTTTTATTTCTTTTTATATTTATTTTATCAGTTATATTTAAAGTTTAAGACTTTTTCTTAAAAAAATAATTATATCGATTATTTACTTTTTTTTTAAATTCAACAAAAGATAAGATTTTTATGTTAATAGTAGTGTCCAATGATTTGATAGCGGGCGGTTAGGAAGGTAGATTATTTTCTTAATAGTATATGATGATTATAAGATATTAATATTTATTTAAGATTTTTTTTAGTCATTAAAAACATCTAAACCTTACAAATGCATCTGTTCGAACCAAAATCTTTATAGGGAAGATAATATTCTCTTAAACCACTAATATTTAACACAAATATGTATGACTTATAAATACAATGAAGATGTATCAACTATTATAGTTAGAGGTGGCAAATGGGTCAATCAGATCGAATTTGGGTCGGGTAATTTTGGGTCTAGTTTAAATTCGATTTAATTTTGTTCGAATCGGATCGGATCTAGTTCGGGCGTACGATGATCGGATCGGGTCAATTTTCAGGTCGGGTTATTATTGGATTTGTTGTTTTCCGATTCAGATCAATATCATATATGTTGATTTTTGGATGGGTCAATACCAGATCAGTTGATTTTTGGGTTAGATTAATACCGAATTAGTTAGATTTCGGGTCAGGTAAATATCAGATAGGTTGATTTTCAATTTAGGTCAACCTTTAGATCAAGTCAATTCGGGTTGAATTGATTATGAGTCTAATCAAAATCAAGTATATATAGAATAATTGATATATTCTTGTAAAAATATGTCTTCTTATTTGTTAATTTTATAATTTAGGTTTAATTTCAAATCTCAATTGTTTAATATTTTGAATTAAACCATCTTTTAGAGATGATAAATCGATAATTTTTCACAAATACGATCCTAAAATACGTGTTAAAATTTGTTATCAAAATTTTAGATGGATCTCGTATGAAAAGTTTATAATGAGAACTATTTGATAAATAAATACATTTTTATTAAAAAAAATTATTTCCAATTATAAATTTAATATTTTTATTAAATTTTAAAAAATAATACATAACTTTATTTGTTAAGTTTAGTCCTAACATAAGTAAACTTTATATTATTTTTATTATAAATCTAATATTTTTTTGTTTAGTTGTTTCTATTATTTTATTATAAATAATATTTTTATAACAAGTAAGATAAGTAAACTTTATTTATATTTTCAATCTACAATTAGATTCTTCTTTTATATTCTCTTAAACTTTCTATTATTTTATTATAAATTTAATATTTTTAATAAATTATCAATTTTATTTAAATTAATTTATTATTGATAATAAATTATATCAATTTCAATATGTTAGAGATGTTTTCGGGTTGGGTTAAACTCGGTTCG